CACGGGATCAAGCAAAGGATGTTAACATCCATCAGTGACTCCAGGGACACTTATCTTACTTGTTGCCAAATATTGTTTAATTTTAAGATTAAACAAATATTCTGAAATGTGTCTGTGATATCTGACCCGAAGAAAATTTAAGTTCAAGCTGCCTGACCAGCTCTTTGAGACTGCTTTGTATGTAGACTGTGGTGTTATTCAACCGAGGAATACGTTTTAGTATTCACAGTGAAGGCCGGGTCACCATTAAATGAATCACTCCTCATACTGTAAGTAGAGCTTGTTAACTGGCTTTTTGAAGATACTCTCTAGTGAATAATAGCAGCATCCTTTACTCTGCAGGCCCAGTTAATTCAAGAATGTGTCATTAGTTTTAGGTCACAGGTTTTAAAGCCTCTGGAAGGGCTGCGGAGAGTGAAAACTCGAGTGCACATGCTCAGAGCTTTGATATTTGTTCATCTATAGATTCAATTTACCCGTGGATGTTACAGTCACACACCTGTTGTGTTCCTGGGTGACTTTGGTGACCCGAGTGGGTTTATTTCTGCCTGTTAGTTGAGGTCAGGGACTGATGTTGGGTGAACAGCCCTGCTTTCACTCAGCATCAGTAACTTGATTTCAAAAGGCCAGTGATACACCACTGGATGGATTTTACACAGGCAAAAATGTCTTTTGCTCATAGGTCTACAGAAGTTTGGAATTTTTTCTTGCTATTTATCGAGCATTGGCAAGCAAGCAAAAAAAACAAATGAACAAAAAAATAAACTATCACTCCTTTGACCTTTCCAGATGCACCCTGCCTCTATACCTACCTGGCTACCTTTATAAACCCAAGGTGCTTATATCGCTGCACAACTCTTACAAAGAAAACAAAGCCCTAGCAAAAGCAGATAAATAAATAAAACCCTAAAAAGAAATAATAAATGAGTGTTACAGGGACTAATGGACCTCAAACTTTTCTAACCATCTGGACAGGCTGTTCTCAGGCACTGAGAACAGAGAATTTTTAAACCTTTTAACCTGCATGGATTTTAAACAGCACGCCACACAGCCGACTCACAACAGAGGACACACCCTGGACCTGGTCATAACCTATGGCCTGTCCACTGGTGTGTCCTCTGTTGTAGACCTGGCTGTGTCTGACCACTACTGTGTGTATTTTAACATCACCAGTTTTAGCCATCAGGAGGCCCCGGTGAGAACGGTGAGGAAACGCTACTTAACTTCTGAAGTGGCTGCAAATTTTATCGAGATTTTAAAGAGCACTCCTGCTGAAATTTTACCTTCACCCTGTGATTTTATTGTGGACAATTTTAACAGTAAATTAAAGTCAACACTTGACTCAGTGGCTCCACTTTTAACCAAAATCATAAAAACAAAACCTACATCTCTTTGGAGAAATGATAACATCAAAAGACTGAAAAGAAAATGCAGGAGTGCAGAGAGGAGGTGGAGAAAAACCAAATTGACAGTTCATTTTGAAATATTACGCAAACAACTCAAAACCTACAATAAAACAGTCAAACAGGCAAGAATATCCCACTTTTCAAAACTCATTTCCGATCATAAAAACAACCCCAAATTTATTTTCTCCACCTTCGATCTTTTAACCAGCACCAATTTTAATAAACCATCCAACATATCAACAGATGTCCTCTGCAAGGACTTTGCAGACCACTTCAGAAGTAAAATCGATGATATCAGGTCCAGTCTTTTATCCCAACGGAATGTAATTTTTAACACACCTGGATCATTGCTTTTACCTGAGGAAACACTGGAGAGTTTTGTCCTGGTTGATGCAAGGACACTTGGTCGAGTTTTCTCCCAGGTAAACCCAACAACTTGCCTTTTAGATCCGATTCCCACATCACTTTTAAAGACATTTTATGGATTCTTTGAGGAACAGATTTTAAATATAGTGAATTACTCTCTTCAGACGGGTGTCTTCCCCGCTGCCTTCAAAACGGCGGTGGTGAAGCCCCTTCTGAAGAAGAGTAATTTAGATCCCAACATTTTTAATAATTACCGACCTGTATCCAACTTACCGTTTTTAAGTAAGATTTTAGAAAAACTGGTTTTTAACCAAGTAAATGATTTTTTAAAAAGAAACAGTATTTTAGAGAAATATCAATCTGGTTTTAGGATGAACCACAGTACCGAGACAGCCCTTTTAAAGATTTTAAATGATATCAGGTTGAATGTTGATTCACAAAAACTCAGTCTTGGTACTACTGGATCTAAGCGCCGTCTTTGATATAGTAGATCACCACATTTTATTAAACAGACTCAGAAACCTGGTCGGCCTCTCTGGTACTGTTTTTAACTGGTTCAGCTCTTATCTCACAGATCGTTGTTTCTTTGTAAGTATGGATACATGTTCCTCCAGAACGTATGAAATTAGGTGTGGGGTGCCCCAAGGGTCAATTTTAGGTCCAGTTCTTTTTAATCTATACATGCTTCCCCTTGGGGACGTCATCAGGAGACATGGCATCAGCTTCCACAGTTACGCAGATGACACACAGCTGTACATGGCCGTGTCTCCTGATGACACAGGGCCAATCGATACCCTTTTTAACTGCATTTTAGATATCAAGTCATGAGTGGCAGTGAATTTCCTACAGCTCAACCAGGACAAAACAGAGGTTTTAATTATTGGTCCTGAAGGCCAGAGAGAGAAACTTTTACCAAAACTACAAGATTTTAAACCTTCACAATGTGTAAAGAACCTGGGCGTCATTTTTGACTCTGAGCTTAGTTTTATTCCACACATCAAAAATGTAACAAAGACAGGTTTTTATCATCTTAAGAATATAGCCAGAGTCCGCCCGTTTCTCTCTCAGGCTAACATGGAGGTGCTGATGCATGCTTTTATCTCTTGTCGTTTAGATTACTGTAATGCCCTGCTGTCTGGTCTTCCCAAAAAGACCATCTCTAATCTGCAGCTAATCTATGCAGCTTGACTGTGTGTGTGTGCGTGCGTGTGTTTATATGTGGGGGTGGGAGGGGCGGGTTTTCAATATATATGTATTATTTTTGTTTGTTTTTATTCTGTGAAGCACTTTGTGCTGCATTTTTAATGTATGAAAAGTGCTATACAAATAAAGTTTGATTGACTGTTCGCACATGTACAAACAAAAAGGTAATGCACCACAGTTCTTATATAACCCACCTAGTCATGAGCAAGTAATTTGTGTGTAACTCATGATGAAGGTAAAAAGTAATGTTAAGAGTGAAAGTCCGCGTAAGGAGGCAGGTTGCAGTGGTGGAGGAGTACAGCAACACCCACCCAGTCTCACTCCAAAGTCATCGATTTCGACACTTGTTGAGTGACTTCTGGTGTCAGACACCAATTAAAAAAGCCGTCCTTTCACATCGGCATGATACACGGCTGGTTGACATTATAGTTTAATGGTGCCCAGCAGTGTCAGGGGGAAACGCCACGGGACAAGAATGAAAGTTAAGGTGGCAAAGGTCCAAAAAGGGTGGGCGGGAGAGGTGGTGGATGGGTCCAACAACCACCGACTTTCACCCGGGAGGAAGTGTTTGCTTCCTCGTTATGCATGTAACAGGCAGAACTTGACACGGTGTCCCAGAACATCAATAACCAATGCACCCAGGGTACGTTTCACATCATATCTAGAAGCGGCAAGTCCATGACCAAACGTCGATATATGACGAGGTCGGAGTGAAAATGTGTTGACAGCACAGGACTTTCCTCAGGACACTGCTGTTCATAAAAAGTGTGAAACCAAGCCAACCTTGAGTTATTTAAAGTATGTCATCACCATGTTTCATTTGCTAAACCTAACCTACATAGCTTTACCTTCAGTATGTAACTCTACGTTTATAACAACATCTTTCTTTGAGTGCTATTTTGTTGTATATGCATCTTTGTAAGATATCCTACTGACCCTTGTATTGGGATATATTAATCTGTGGATGCTTTCAGACCTAGAGTTGTCTTGCTTTGGTCTGAATCAGGGACTAATTTTGTTACAAAGTTGTATAATTGCCTAAAGTTGGTTCATGTTCTCACAGCAGCATTTACAAGTGGACCAGATAAAATGCATTGTGCGAGAAAGCTGCTCTTGATTGGTCAGAATTTCCATGCGGGAAAAATCCTGGAAGTAAACCAAACGTTGAAGAAGAGTACACTTGCAAGATAAATGTGACACTTTCTAATGTCACAATGGAGGGACAACTACGCAGGTTGATTTTAGCGCTGGTCATCATGGACTATATTGCTGTCATTGTTCATTTTAGTCAAACCATACAGTTTGAAAACGAGGCACGGCTCCAACTAGAAAACAATGTTTTGATGCATTGGATGTGCTGAATGTGCATATTAAGGCAGTACAGGAGGAGGTGCACATTAATAATCCTCCAGGACTGTAACATGCTCATGTTTAACCCAAACAATGAGACCACCTCTTCAAGAAGGTCTCAGTCCGGTTGTTTTGGTGCGCACTAGAATGTGAATGCTGTGTTCACATCTGCCCTAATGAACTGTACTTAGGGGGGCAAATGAACTTGAGTTTGCTTGAAACAAACCAAACAGGGCAGGTGTGAAAGCACCCTGTATGAAAAATATTTAACTGGTTTCTAAAGTCACGTGTCTATTTTCGTAATTAAAAACAAACAGAGACTGGAAACGACATATGTGCAGGCTTAATTTGTATTGTTAGCTTATGATTACTTATTAATACCGATGGTGATTTCTATTATTTTATATTTTCTTGCATAAATGTATTTATCTTAAATATTTTGCTTGTGCCATACCTTCAAGGCTACTTATTTTTATTAACAAACAAAATAGACAGAAATAAAAGAAAACAATTGCTCTGTGACTTGAATGTAGTAATGACAATAAAACATGACAGCCACAAATTGGGGCTGACTCAAAACTATGAAAGGCAGTACATGTGAGTACTTGTACATAAGTGTACACTACATGTACCTCAAAATATAAGCAGTCTGTGAATGTAATAAAAAATTAAAAATAAAAAAAAAAGCAGGTAGAATAGAGTAAAAGATGCTCAAGCAAAGAAGGAAGGAAATGCAAACAGAGAGAGAGAGACTTGCACCTCCTTCGTTACATGTGACAGTCCAGCAGCTCCACAGCCTCCTCCTCCGCCTCCCTCTCCGACTCTCACGCTGTCTCTCGCATCCACATCTCTTCATTTCTCCGTCTGCTCAGCTTCTGTTCCTGCTTCTTTTTTTGTTACATCCCTTCATTTTCTCCTCCTCCTTCCTTCTCTCTCCTTTTTTAAAAAAAAAAAAAAAAAAATTTGATTCTTCATCTGCGACATGCTCCTCACGTGAAGTCCGTCAACTTGCAGAGCACTGTGGATGCCCAGTTAAAAAACAAAACATAGAAAAGAAGGCAAATGCTCTGTCGGGGAATAAGAGGAAAAGCGCACGTTTGCATCTTTCATTGAGTGCCTTGGCTTGAACGGAGCAACAGTATGGATCTGTCATTCATGGCTGCGCAGGTGAGACGTCTTTCCTCTAATTTGCACACAGATGTTTGTCTCGACCGAACTTTCTTTTCCATTTGTCCATCGATTTCATGGGCGTGGCCGGTCAACAAGTTCATGTGGCGCTTTGACAATATTACATTATCCATACGTCTCAACACTAATAATCAAGATGGATTACATAATAAATTTAGTTCCTTGCATTGCATAAATCAATACATATTTCCATAATATTGCTAATGGGAGTTTATGGTATTTATTTCCCTCCTACTGTGTGGTAATATTATTTTAGCAGTCTTTTAATTGAGAGTTGATGTAGTTACCCTTTGAGTTTATCATCAGGTTTAAGGTTTGTTGTAGTTAATAAGGTTATGTCTGACTTGGACATGTTGTACTTTTGTGGGACTGTGTGTTAGAGCCTAAAGCAAGGACTGTGTGTTACAAAATAACACCATTAAAACTTATTTCATTTCATTTTTATTCTAATTTACTGTGTTTTTGCGGTTAAATAACACCAGTTTGTCAGATCAAGCATCAGTTTGGACCCAGACCCCATGGCATATTGCATTACTTGCACTCTGCATAGTAATACATTGGAAAATGTCAATTGATTTCGTCCTCATAGAGAACATGTGTTATCGCGCATCTTTACATGGACATGTGGTTTGTTTTCATTAGGAGCTGATATGGCAGGCTCCTCTTCCCTCATTTCAGTGTCTGGCTGCTTATGGTTCGTCTGGTGCCATCTACTTTGCCATTTTCTGTGCAACTGCTATTAAAAGGGTTCAGAGCATTATCTTTGCTGCCAGTGGCTGTTCTGCAGGCCAGACTATGAGCCAAATGCTCCCAAATCTTTTTAAATCAAGAACCCCCTAAATAGAAACGCATCGGAGCATGGAGCCATCCGAGAATACATTTTTTTGTTCAATATGCCTGAAAGAAAGGTGGCGTAATAACAGTGGAAGGCATGAGACCTATCAATCAAACAGTCAGCATTGTTCTCTTTATCATCGGGAGAACTTTTAGAGAGGGAAGTAATCAAAATCGGTGTGATAATTCACATCACACTGGTGAAACACTGTGTTCAAAGATTTAATGTGCTTATGTGTTTCAAGAAACTTTGGTTGGGTAGCAGTGTACACGAATGAGGCTGACAGCAGCCAAGTGAAGGAGGCAGACCACTGTGAGCCTTTTTTGTGGGCAGTCGGTTACTCATATTCACAACTGGGAATGGTTGAATAGCACAGTGTTTGAAACCACTCAGCTGGAGCTGGGGACTTTGCTGCAAATGTAGTATGTTTCTTCTGCCTCGGCTGTGAAGACGCACAGATGTGCAGCGAGCCTTACACTGTCAGTAAAGGTGACAGACGAAAAGCTGTCTTTGAAGGCTTCATCACAAATCCGAAAAAGTAGATACCACAAACAAGATTTAGACCAAATGTGTTTTTAAAAAATAGTGCAGTAACAGTGAAACAACAGTTAGTTATCAAGATAAATGCAACACAACATGTAATGAATTGAGTAAACATGGAGTCAGCTACCAGTTACTCTTGACTGATTCATTGTCTAGTCTATAAAACTAAATTATGAAACAGTTGCCAGTCTGAATCCTTCCTAAGAAAACCAGAAAATGTCAAGTCGTAGTGAGATGGACTGAGAAAATGTTTGTCATTTTTACTGTAAAAAAAAGACTTCAATGACCGTCTGATTTAGTGGGCTGTTGGCAGATAAGGAATACAATATTCATAACCATGTTTTCATTAGTCAAATCACCCGAAACTGGGAATCATTGTGCTTTTGTAACCTTAGATCACACCGTTTATATCTACAAAGGCAGTGGGTCCTTGTAGACAGAGTCCGCCATGTTGCACGGCTATGTTTCTACAGTAGTCCAGAATGAATAAATCAAACGCTGGCTTCATGTTTTTATGTTAAAGTGGCAGCTTCACCTGCACCTGAAGCCACCATAGGTTCTCCTACAGGCTTGGAATGGAGGAGTATTAAGTTGGTTGCAATATATTGCTAACTGGACATGACAGATGGTTGTCTTGCTTTGGTCTGAATCAGGGACTAATTTTGTTACGAAGTTGCATAGCTGCCTAGAGTTGGTTTGTGTTCTCACAGCAGCATTTACAAGTGGACCAGATAAAATGCCTCACGTGAGAAAGCTGCTCTTGATTGGTCAGAATTTCCATGCGGTAAAAATCCAGGAAGTAAACAAAACGTTGAAGAAGAGTACACTTGCAAGATAAATGTCACACTTTCTCATGTCACAATGGAGGGACAACTACGCAGGTTGATTTTAGCGCTGCTCATCGTGGACTATATTGCTGTCATTGTTCATTTTAGTCAAACCACACAGTTTGAAAACGAGGCGCGGCTCCAACTAGAAAACAATGTTTTGATGCATTGGATGTGCTGAATGTGCATATTAAGGCAGTACAGGAGGAGGTGCACATTAATAATCCTCCAGGACTGTAACATGCTCATGTTTAACCCAAACAATGTGTCATGTGACTGCAGTTGGTTCAGATCGAGGTTGGAACAAGTTCTCACCACAAATGAACTGCACCAGAGTTCATTTGTAACCGGACTGAGACCACCTCAGGGGGCAAACAAACTAGAGTTCGATTGAACCGAACCAAACAAGTGCAGGTGTGAAAGCACCCTGAGAAGCTGTCATGTAAACTGTCTGAATAACTGCGGACACTTTCAAAAATATTTGGCAGGTGATTGGACGAACCATCTGTCTGTCAGTGTCTATCATGGACCAGTCAGGAGAGCCTTCACTGCTGTTCTTCGCTCTTCTTTCAAGCAGAAATACTCTCCAGTTCTGATGAAACTGATGCCATTGCAGCATATGCGTGATTCCTCAATCCTGCACGTCTTTGGTGAAATTGCTTTTAAAGTTTTTGCTCCCTCACCTTGGTGTCAGCTTCATAGTCAGCTTAACCTAGATTTCATTACAAGCACGTTGTTTGTGAATATTTTATGCTGTTTGTTTTGACCTTTTGCTGCTGCTTTCTTAGTTTGTTTGTTCTTTATGCTGTTCTCTTGGTCAGGACTCGCTTGCAAAAGAGATTTTAAATCTCTATGAAAACAATTCTGGTAAAATAAAGGGCAGGTATAATTCATCATCAACAACAACAACAACAACAACAACAACAACAACAACAACAACAACAACAACAACAACAACAACAACAACAACAACCTCTTTAGGAGACGCCATTGTTGTTTTGAATGGACACACACCTAAACCATGCATGTAGCTGCCACTAGCTCCTCATGGGATGCTGATTGGTCTACGCTACTGGTGGTGCAAACACAGATGCATTACTTAAAGCCTCACAATAGATTTATCCCGAAAATCCAGCAGCCATGCAGGGTAGATTACATTGCAACCCAGTGTTTATTGAATTGAAAGTTTGTTGGTTGATTGATTGAATAAACATACCATTGTAGCTCTACATGTAACCTTAGAATTCAATGGACCAAAGGTAGAAAGAAGGAATGCACAACAGCAGGAAATAAACAGTGATTCAGGATCTTATCCTCAGGCAGCTATTTTAATGACTTAATTAAGCAGTCAAAGTAATCCTATTAAATTACAAATAACAAAAAAGGCTCAAATGAAAAAGGTACCTTCAGATAAAGCCCAACAAAGGCATTTTGAGAGTAGATTATTGCCGATATTTGTTTGGTCACAGATTTATAATAAAGGGTGGATGTACCAGAGTGTTTAACTGAAAATATCCACTGGTGGCAAAAAATGTATGTTAGTTGAGTTAGCGCAGAGGGTGACAACGACTTAGCGCAGGGAGTCCTAATCAGGCTTAAATAAGGCTTTACTTCCAGTTCCCCATGGCCCCATTACATCATACTTATTTCCTGCTGCTCTTCCAGTTCACCTTTTTTCCCAAGGATCCATGCACCTCCTCTTCAAGAGTGCAGCCCTGTGAAAAAGCTAATGGTTAATTTTACTGAGGTGAAATTCATTCCAGTGCCCTGAGTCACTCTGTAATGGTGACTATGAACGAAGTCAGGCAAATGTCCCTGGAGTCTTGAAGATTGACTTCACAATGGATGATTTTTTGCCCATCCATCTCAGCGTAGCTCTGCCGCCTGCAAATCATTGGACCTTCGCCATCACTTTGTCTCTAAAAGATGACGGATGCTGCCATAACTGTTCCCTCCTAAAGACAGGGAAAGTTTTTTAAAGAAGTCCAACTCAGATTAGCTGGTCAGATTTTTCTCCATGTGGCAAAGGATGAGGAATCAGCAGTTTGGAGGATGTAGTGGTTGGTAATGTTGCTGTGTATTTAAGGAGAGAACTCATTAAACTCATTTCTTTCACAGTATAATTTCCTGAAAAACCTAAGCCTGGCAATCAGCAAGGGCACTTACTCTAGGACAAGAACATGCATCATGTGTACCATTACACAGAATATCACTCAGACTGGTAACATAATTGGCCATTGTATCTAATTATAGAATGGTTTTGTAGGATATCACAGAAACATGCTAAATAGCTCTCTCAAAACAATGTGTGCGCTTTTGTGTTCGGCGAATGATTTGCATTTGGCAGAGATGCCTCACTGGTTTGGAATGAAAAAGGGCATACTTCATTAGGCTGAAAGTGGTGGCATCCTCAAGCATTGCAAAACATGGATTAATAGGTGACAATCACAGTGAAGCTTCTGAATACTAAGCTGAGGGCAATGAGGCGATTCGTTCTTTTCACTTAGACTGAATTGAGAAATGTTTCAGATAACGTTCCTTAGCTCCTTAGGTATGGGCATTAAGTTTTATTTTTAATTTGCATTCACTCTCACTTCTTCTTCCAGACCAACTACCGTGATTGTTAATCACACCGTGTACATCTTTGCACCTTGTGCAGGTTTTCACTGTCGTAATTATTAAAATGGCAGATGTTAAGGCATAAAAAATGAGCCAGTGTGCTCCCTGGTTACTAACTGATGTTGAGGTCAAGTTTGATGTGTAACAGACAGGCT